TTTATAAGAAATTGTTAATAGAATATAACTATAAGAGTTATAGTTCTCAGAATATTGGGTTCATAAGGACAATATTCGGTAGCACTTCTTCCAAGTAGTTCCTAATTGGTTGATATAGGCCATTATATCAACCAACGAAGACGCGCCACGACAGACGCACGCAATGAGTGGTGAGCAGATAACTGATTTACACATTTGTATTTAGACATAGTTAGATGAAGATAAATAGTGATTTATTGCAGACATTAACTATTATAAATACAGTTCTACTTTTTACTCTAACCGAGTACTCGCTTCTTCTTACCGTCTTCCTCTGCACGTACGAGTGTACGTGAAGTTACGAGGCACCGCCTTATTCTGTTATCAGAATAAGTAGCTTGTACTGTCACCAGTACAAGCTTCAGGGTGCCCCGTTACACCTGGTAGCACTTCGTAGTCCGTCCAAGGACCACGTGTTCACATCCAACATGAATATGTTGGATGATGAAGATGACCAAAGCTTTCACGCTACGCGTGACGGCTACTCCCATTTGAGCGATGTCGAATGGGATGCGGTTGAACGAATGGGTTCGACCATGGGCATCCATGCTGTTAGCGTCATGCCAGAGGCTCTCAATAGAGATGCCCAACATGCTACTATCGCCAAGTTCATTCAAAATGAACTTGACGCAGAACGCGAGAAAGTAGCCTTGCTTCACCAACAAGGTTCTCAACAAGCAGAGTTGTTGAGAGAACAAGGTGCTCAACAGTTTGAACTGTTGAGACAGCAGCAGGCTGCTGCTGGCGGGTCGATGCACTCGCGTCGGCCCGAGACTTTGAAGATTGACATCTCAAAGTATAGGGGGGTCGAAGAAGACTCCCTCTTGAGATGGTTCGTCGAATTGGACGACGCCATAAGGGCGCGTCGCATCGACGACGGGGATATGCAAGTTGCATTTGCCCAGTCAAATCTGGCAGGACGTGCCAAGACTTGGGCACTGGGGCTCAAGCTGCACGACCCATATGCGTTTGGGTCGTTGGAAGTCTTCAAGTCGCGGCCTCAGACAAACGTTTGAACCGCCTAGAGCTGAGTTCAGAGCTCGAACCGAACTCTTGAAGCTCAAGCAGGGTAAGCGGTGATGTGCACGCTTACGCTCAACATATACGACATCTCACGAGTTGTATAAGTTCCAATCCGGTGGATGAACACACGTTGGTTTCGGTGTTCATGCAGGGTCTTGCGGATGGTCCCGTCAAGACTCACCTGTTCCGGCTTGAACTAGATTCACTAGAACAAGCCATTTCAATTGCGGAGCAGGAAGACTTCAGTCTGAGACAGGCTCGCGCCAGCTCGACATCATATCGTCAACCGAGACGATATGACAACGGAGGTCCAGAGCCGATGGAACTCTGTTATGTAGAGAGCGAGAAGGCTCGCTCTACAGGCTACAAGAAGTTGCAGAGATGCAACAGATGTCAAAAGACAGGACACTACGCTTACGAGTGTAGTGCCCCTCGTCCAGTGTCTCGCGACACTGGGCGTAGTGACCGTCCACCCATGAGAAAGGGGCAGGGACGAGGGTCCGCAGTTGGTGCAAAGACGCAACAACGGGATGGACCGTCAAAAACGGACAGGATCAGTAGGTGCGGAGCACCCTACTGATCCAGCAACGTCAAGAGAATTTGTAGGCCTCTTGATGAAGGTTGCTCCCAACACACAGACATTGTGCGTTGCTGCTCTAGGTAATGAGATCTCACTCATTACCTTGAAACTCGAAGTGACGAATAAGTTGTCCCTTCGAGCTCTAGTCGATTGTGGGGCGTCCAACAATTTTGTGCGACGCCAATCGCTAGAAGATGGTCACTTTAAATTCAGTGAATGTGACACACCTCCTACGAGGATGACGGTACGTCTTGCGACAGGCGCATCCGTAATCAAATCATGAAGCGTATAGTGAAGATTCACTATACGCTAGAAGATACCCAATACGACGATGACTTTATCGTATTGGATTTGGATGACAAATTTGATGTCATCCTTGGAATACCGTGGCTCAGAAGGTACGAACCACGGGTAAACTGGCAACATCGGACAGTAACGATGCTCTGCCGCTTGTTCATCAGATGGCCATCTGATGAACGTTTTGGAGCGTCCACAAGCGTGTGGATGTACTACGAGTGAGTGCGATGGCCTCACTTGTGGTACGGTCGTTAGTACGACTGCACAAAACCTTAGTGTACCAAACGGTTACACTTCGGAGCCAAGTTCCGGCGGCTGTGAGGAAACACAGGCTGCGCCGAAGGTCCACCACTCGAATAAGTCGGGTGGACTGGGACAAAGATGTATCCCTAGAGGGGAACATCTAGAAGAGAAACAATCGATCGCTCAGGTTAAGCGAAACGATAATCCTAGATCGACTGGAGAGTCTTTCGTAGAGGATCTCGCTGTGGTTGCGCAACCCCAGCTAGAGGAAGTAAAGGGAATAAGTCCCAAGATTACAAATACGGCGGAAATAAGTTCCCGAAACCCGCGGGAATAAGTCCCCGGGAAGACGAAGGAATAAGTCCTTCGAAGCCTGAGGGAATAAGTCCCCAGGAAATGACAGAGACATTGAATGTCATAGTCAATAACGGATCATGTGTAGGCGCTTATACACTTGATCTGATTGCGCCTCCGAAGTTAACTTCGGAGATCACTCAGTTGCCAACGCTCGAACATAAAAAGGTTCTTGCGTGATCTGCGTAGTGGCAAAGTCAAGCAGATCTGCATACTCGTCGCTGAAGACGAGTATGTAACCGACATAAGGTCAGCAACAGTGTTTACTGAGAACGAGAGAGTTCTCAGTAGTTCATCTATGGACGAGAGTGCCCTAGATGAAAAGACACGAATTGAGCGATATGAGTCCCAATCATGGGAATCGCTCAAGGAAAATCCTCTCTATGAAGATTTGGTTGAATTCAAGGATGTATTCCCTGAAACTGTCCCGTGCGAATTACCGAAGGATAAAGGTATTCGACACGAAGTCGAGCTTAAACCAGGCTCGAAGTACTGTGTCATGAAGCAGTGGCCACTGCCTCGTGAACAAGTACTTGCGATCGACAAGTTCTTTGCCGATCGTTTAGCAGCGGGCCATGTGAGGGAATCAACTTCCCCACATAGCTCTCCGACCTTCTGTGTGCGAAAAGCAACAGGAGGGTGGCGGATAGTGCACGCGTTTAACAAATTGAACGCTGCAACGGTACCGGCTCAGACGCCGATACCGAGGAAGGACGTAATCATTGATGGTATGTCAAAGAGTACCATCTTTTCGTCCATGGATTTGATGGATGGCTTCTATCAAATCCTAATGCGGGAACGGGATATACCCTATACCGCAGTTAGCACGCCTAGCGGCATGCTCTGGGAATGGCTAGTAATGCCACAAGGGCTCAGTAATGCCCCTGCCACGTTCAACAGATGTGTATCACATCTGTTGAGACCAGTACGAGAGTTCGCGCCGAGTTATTTCGATGACGTATTCATCCATAGTCGAGCTATGGATGGAAAGTCGGACGTTGAGGTTCACAGGTACCACGTCCGACAAGTTCTTACAATCATGCGAAAGCATCAATTGTATGCTTAACCTCAAGAAGTGTATATTTGCAGCAAGCGAAATACCACTTCTTGGGTGCATCGTTGGTAAGAACGGTGTACGTCCTGATCCCGAAAAGATCAAGGCGATCACCGACTGGCCTGTGCCGGTCGATGTCAAAGGTCTTCGAAAATTCCTTAGCTAGCGGCGTATTTGCATAAGTATTCACGCAATTACGCCGAGATGACTGTACACCTCTCTCGTTTGTTGAAAAAGAACGAGAGGTGGTTATGGAACGCTGAATGTCAACGCTCCTTTGAGGGTATCAAGCAGAGCTTGATACAATCCCCAGTCCTAGCAATAGCCGATCAGGACAGGCCATTTCATGTGGTCTGTGATGCCAGCGATTTCGCAATCGGCTGTGCATTAATGCAGTACGACCTTGAAGGCGTTGAACGCGTCGTCTGCTATCAGTCGCGTCAGCTGCAACCAGCTGAGCGGAACTATCCAGTGCATGACAAGGAACTCCTTGCCATGAAGTATGCACTCGCGAAGTTCAGAGTCTATCTATTAGGAGATAGACCCTTCGTTGTTTACACTGACCATGCGTCCTTACGCACGGCAGTGAACAGCCCGCACCTTTCACAACGAATGGCGCGGTGGTTGTCATTCTTTGCAGAATACAACTTTACGGTCGAGTACAAACCAGGACGACTTAATGTCGTCGCTGATGCACTCTCACGTCGTCCCGACTTTGAAACAGTCGCGAAACCCAACAGTGAGACAGTCACTGTTGCGGTTATGACGTCCTCAGTCCCATCTACAATGTTGTATGATGATGTGAGGCGGGCATACGCCCAAGATGGTGAGATAGTGAAGTTGTTGTCACATCTCTCCCAACCATCTCGAGAATCGTTGAAACGATTGTCGTTCTGCGTATCGATCTGCATCAGATCGATACACTACTCGTAACGGTTTACTGTACTATACAGCCGTTTCTGGTGACACACCACGTGTTGTCATTCCAGATGATACTGATCTGCGTTTGCGGATCATGTTCGAGTATCACGATGCTCCTATAGGAGGACATCGTGGCCGAGAGAAAACATATCTCACGGTAAGTCGAGACTTTTACTGGCCCCGCCAGTATCAGTTTGTGCGAAAGTATGTTCGCGCATGCGAAGTCTGCCAACGAGTGAAGTCAAGTCCTTCACTGCGTGCACCTTTACAGCCTCTACCGGTTCCGGCTGAGTGCTGGGAATCCATCTCACTGGATTTCGTCTTCGGGTTACCCAAAGACGCACGCGGGAATACGGGTATTCTCGTATTTGTTGACAGATTCAGCAAAATGGTACACCTTGTGGCTGTACCAGAGACAATCACGGCAAGTGGCTGTGCTTGTGTCTTTATTGACACCATCTTCCGACTTCATGGGTTGCCCCGTGAACTCGTATCAGACAGAGATCCACGATTCACTGTTGATTTCTGGCGCTCCGTGTTCAAATCACTCGGAACGCGCTTGAAGATGTCAACATCTGATCATCCAGAGTCAGATGGTCAGACGGAACGTGCCAATCGTGTCCTTGAAGAGATACTTCGAGGATACGTACACTCCTTTAAGAGTTGGAGTGAGTTTTTGCCAATGGTAGAGTTTGCCATCAACAACTCGGTGCATGCGTCCACGACACATACACCGTTTTACGTGAATGGCTTGCGCCATCCGCGTATACCCACCTTACTAGAGTGTAACTCTGGTTTAAGGGGGAGGGACTCGCGCGAGCAAAAACCGATTTGGTTCACGCTCATCACGCTCTGACGAAGAAGTCATTGCGTTTGATGCCGATATCGATAACATCGATATCGAAGAAGATGATGCCAGTGAGAGTGCGGAAGCCCTCACTGAAGACAATGATCCCAGTGAGAGTGCGGAAGCCCTCACTGAAGAAAAGGTTGTTGTTGCTGCAGTGCGCTCACAGCACACTGAAGCTAACGAGTCATCAGATGAGTTCATACTGGCTCGTGAAACGGTAGTCCGTTTTGTGCAAGACTCCATCGCCGAAGCGGTGGATAAGCAAAAGCAAAACGCTGACAAGAATGGAAGGGCAAACACTCTTTTATTTAATAAAGGTGACTTAGTCCTACTGTCTACGGTTAATCTACCAAAACATGTAGTGACTAACTTGGGTAGCAGTAAACTACTACCCAAGTACATTGGCCCATTTCGTGTATTGCACCGCCTAGGCAATGCATACACGATCGAGTTACCACGTAAGATGCGAACGCATCCCACGTTTTACGTTGGTCGGCTTAAGCCGTACCATCAGTACGCTGCTTCTTCCGATGAAGAACGCCCTTGCGCTCAAGCATCTCGCAGAGAGCCTTGTGCTCCCGATGGTGGGCATCAACAAGGGTCTGAAGAGCAGTTATCTCAGCCCGAGACCGATCAACAATCCCACGAGCTACCCTTAGCTCGTCACGAAGAGATGTCAGAGATCTCTCGTTCTCAAGCTGAGCAAAGGCAAACTCAGCTCGATGCTTCGAGGCAGTGTCCACCATCTGGAGACGCCTATTCCGCTCATGCTCGAGATCGTCGCGTAACCCTTGCGTTACGCGATCAAAGAAGCTCTCGGGAACACACCGATCCACATGATCGTGTGGAGAGCGTCTTTCCTCCTCCTCCACCTCCATTAGAGGACTCTCGCGGTGGCCAGCGCTATCTAGTAGAGCAGCTGTTGAACCACCGCGACGTGAACGGACGTCGGACGAGTTACCTCGTCCGGTGGCGCGGCTATCCCCCGTCCTGGGATTCTTGGGAGCCCCGCTCCCAATTGATGGTTGACGTACTGGGTCTGGTCGAGCAGTACGACGCGACACATCCTGTGCCGCAGAAGGACCGCCGGAGAAAGTCTTCCCGGCACGGTCGTAAAGGGATTTTAGGTTGTCAATCCCTTCGTACATCTCAGTAGAGACACGTACGCGCCACCACGGGCTGGTAAGGAGGTAAGCCTCCTTAGGTGCTCGTGCAGAGTTGTTCACACAACATGGGCACGAGTCTCCCCAAGAGAGGCAGGGTAATCCTTTCTCCCTTGACAGACGATGCAGCTTGTAGCGTGCACCTGTCGGGGTTCGCTTTTCAAACTTATCACGAGCTTTGATAAGTTTGTCGTTCCAAGCGTCACGACCTACATCCTCGAGATTATGGATGTAGGCGTTCCACGCCTGAAGTAGTGAGGGACCATCACGTTTGTGATTCCCACTGTACCATCGATGTCTGAAGAAAGCATCGATGAAGAACTCATGTTCAGCGCGATAGTCTTTCGCGCTGGGGTCAAGGTGATGGATCCTTGACGAATCGAACAATCGTGTTCGATAACGATCACTCGTCGTCGCCGACAAGTGATCCATGACGGATTTAGGAGGCATCCATGCCTTCTTTTCTGGAGCGAGACGCAACACATTGCGGTCCCGCTCTTCCTGCGACGTGCCGACAGAAGTACTGGCACCTCGCTGTGAAGTGGTGTCCATAGGAGAACCGACACCACTATTAGCGCCCGAGTCTCGCGACCTCGAGCGCCTTCGCTTCGGCGATGGTTCATCTGACTCATCAGATGAACCAAAGATGCTGCGACGCAAAGCATCGTCCATGCCACGCTTGGCAGGCGGCTTGGATTCAATTGCCGTCGATACGGATCCGTCATCCGTATCAGGAGAGTACGAGACACCGAGCTCGTACTCTGTGAAGACACGAGTGTCTTCATGACCAGCGCCTGCATCACCAGGTGATACAGGCTGAGTCGATTCAGCAACCGATGGGACATCAGTTGCTGTAGTTTCTGCTTCGGCGTCCGCACAGAGACGTGCAGACGCGCTCTCGGCGGCCTTGCTCGCGCATCGCATGGGCTTGTTTACCATGCGATGAGATGTTGGAAAGTGGACGCGGACCAACAAGTGCAAACCCCGTCCCAAATGATTTGGGACGAGTATCCATTTAGTCAATCAGTCACTAAAGTGACTGATGGTTAAGGGGGGTGATGTAACGGGGTGAATCGTTACATAACAATTTATAAGAAATTGTTAATAGAATATAACTATAAGAGTTATATTCTCAGAATATTGTCATAAGGACAATATTCGGTAGCACTTCCAAGTAGTTCCTAATTGGTTGATATAGGCCATTATATCAACCAACGAAGACGCGCCACGACAGACGCACGCAATGAGTGGTGAGCAGATAACTGATTTACACATTTGTATTTAGACATAGTTAGATGAAGATAAATAGTGATTTATTGCAGACATTAACTATTATAAATACAGTTCTACTTTTTACTCTAACCGAGTACTCGCTTCTTCTTACCGTCTTCCTCTGCACGTACGAGTGTACGTGAAGTTACGAGGCACCGCCTTATTCTGTTATCAGAATAAGTAGCTTGTACTGTCACCAGTACAAGCTTCAGGGTGCCCCGTTACACTCCATGCCTAGCTCTACAAATGTGTGTATCATCGGTCAGGCGCATCAATCTGGACATGAACACAAATCTTATCGTCGACCACGATAAATATGAGCTGACGAGTTTGTTGTCATCTCCAACATTTCGATTGTGCAGTCAGTGTGCGTGGTATGCTTGGTGGACGATGTGGCCGGTCGCAACATTGGTTTCTTACATGAATCGCACGTGGCTTAGTCTGCGAGGCCTAAACCTGCTCGTTTTCTGAGAAGATCCGCGGCCTCCAAGTCAGTTGACCTTTTTCAATGTTTTCCACACGGTAAGACCGCGATGGCAGCTGGTGATTGACAGATTCCACATTTCTAAAGGGCAGTTAAAAATGACTATTTTAGCACTCTTCAATCACACATCCATGACCTTTTCGTACTTCCTGATCGGTTGGCGGATTCCCGCATGCGCCTGCGTCAAAAGGAAACGATAACCGATCGCAGGGGTGTAGTGCTACAACACTGATACTGGAACCAGCTAATTTAGATCGACATCCGGGGGGAAGTCGATTACCGGTCGCCAGAGATAGTGTTGAAAGGCAAGCTTCAAGTTGATGTACCAAGAAAGTGGTACCAGTATCACTTTTGATATCATCTTTGCGCCGAGCAACTGTGGGAGTTTCATTTTATGATTTCTTCTGCAGAAAGGATTTGATAGCTAGCCAGGAGATAACGAAACTAATAACACTCTCTCTTTTGCATTTAATTGTGTGTCCTCTGTCTCTACCTTTGTGTATTGACTTCTAACAGGTTATGAGCCCAAAGCACGGGGCACTCAGGGGGTGACACGCGCGACGGCGCGTATGCGGAAGCAGCCCCTGCCACTGGTCACGAAAGGGTCAGTGAGCATGAAGATTATGAAGAGAAGAGCAAGCAAGGTGTTGTCCATGCGGTGGACAATGCTGTCACCAGGAGTGACGACGCGTCAGAGCTCCTGGTGCTGATGAGAGGAATAACCGGACGTCTGGATAGGCTTGAGGAGTCACAGACAAGGTTGATAAAAGCTGAGGAAGGGCGTGGAAGACATAGGGACGCGCCTATGACTCCGCCTAGACATTCAAGTTTGTTTGTTTCGGCTTTGGGAAGTGGAACAAGAATGCACATGGACAACTTGGAAGGGTCCAATGGTGCGCCGGTATTTACTCCGAGGAGACCGGTTGAAGGGCAGATGTCGTTTGGTGCTGGACAGCCCGAATATAATGGACCCAGCCAGGACGTTCGCGGTCAAGTTGCACCAGGACTTGGAATTCCTGATATGTTGCCCCAAGCTGGAGGACATGGGTACATGCAACATCCCGACTTAAATGGATACGGTCATGCACAAGGAAATATACTTCAAGTGCGATATCCTGATGCAAGGCAAAAGAAGCTCGGCATTCGGCCGTTTGATGGAAGCGAACTGTATGAAGGACTTGGTTCTGGATTCTTGGAGTGGGGTCGGAGATTCGAGCGACAAATTTCGTTGGCACAGTCGTCTTGTGAATTTGAATGGCCGGAAGATGTGAAAGTGGATGTAATTGGATTGCATCTTCTGTAGCTGCAGAGAGATATTACAACAGACAAGTCGCGATGTGGTGGCGTCAATTACCCACGTTGCAGTATATGATGGAGAAAACGCTGGAAGCATTTAAGACAAGTATTACGCCGGCGCGAGCGATGAATTTTTACGCAACGTAAGAACCCGAACCGTAGTTGGCCAGAACATTACATGTATTTGGCGGCAATTTCCGAAGTTTGTGGAAACGGTGGTGATTATTTGGTTCTGGACAATATTGTGCAATACGCCTCTGAGGCTATGCGAACAATTTTACTGGCAAAAGTTGATCACACGAGAACGGACTACCTGGTGCAAGCAGAACAGCTCGCTCACTTTGCGCAAGCGTATGAGTTACACACTGGGAGAGAAAGAACTCTCGGGCGAGAAAAAGTGAGCACAAGAGAAGTCGTTAATTCTGTTTCCGATCGACAACGCAAGGAAACGCGTAGATGTCACTTTTGTCACGAAGTTGGACATTTGCAGGGAGCGTGTCCGAAACGCAAGCGACCACAAGGACCTCGAACAAATTTGTCGCTTGCTGTGAATGAAGTCTCAAGTCAACAAGACGATGTCTGGATCTTGGATAGCGGATCCAGTAGACACTTGGTCAGTGATGAGTCGTGGCTTCACAACGTCGAGTCGTGTGAAGGGGTTTGTCATCAACCCGATGGACAGCCGCTTCTTATAAGCAAAAGAGGCACTGTGACAATTAACGTCTTGGCTTGTGGAGTTGAGCGTAAGCTGACTCTTACAGATGTATACTTTGCTGAGGGTGTGAAGCATAATTTAATTTCGTATGGAATCTCGGACCGAAAGGGTTACACACTTGGATACAATGGAACTCAACGTGTTATATCCAATACAGTTACTGGAGCTGTGGCTTTTGATGTTCAATTGGTTGGTAACGTTCTTGTGGTGCCGTGTCGAGTGATGGATAACGATGTTGAACCGGTTGGAGTAATTATGGCGGTCTTGGGTGAAGAAGCAAGTGTCCAAGTGTCTTCCGCTGTCCAAAAAGGCAGTTTAATGGACTTTCACAAGCGTTTTGGCCATTTAAACTACGAAACGATAATAAAATTGGCTACAGATCCTTATTGTGATTTTTTGCTTACGGACAAGCGTCGCGACTTTTGTTACACTTGCTCACAAGGCAAACAGACCAAGAACAAACAGCAAAGGCACGACTCTGGGCAACACTCACCTATTGACAGGATTGGAGGTGTTATTTGTTCGGACATCAAGGGCCCGATGACTCCAAAGGATCGGCTAAATAATCGCTATATGATCAACTTCGTTGATCATAAGAGCAATTATTGTCGTGTATTTCTTGATCGCACTAAAGACGCTGCAGCAAAGAAATTTAAAGATTTTCTGATTTTTTTCGAGAAAAAATTTAATTGTCGTGTGCACGTTCTTCGCACGGACTCAGGAGGAGAGTACCAGAATGTAGATTTATTCTGCAAGAAGTCGGGCGTTGCAAGACAGCGAAGTGAAGCAAGAAACCAAGCCAGCAATGGAAAGGCTGAGCGCATGCATCGGACCATCATGAATATGGCCCGTTGCATGATATTTGCGTCAGGATTGCCACTCAATTTCTGGGGTGACGCGGTTGAATATGCTGCTTATATTTTGAACCGGGCCCCTACAAATTCGAATGCTGAGCGAATGTCACCGATGAAGGTGCTGACGGACCAGACCCCGTCGCTAGGTGAAATTGTCGTTTTTGGATCACCATGTACAGTGTACAGAGATCCTAAGAAGAAGAATTTTGCTCCTAGAGGACAAAAAGGGATTATCATTGGCATTGGTGAAGAAACCAAAGGGTATCGTGTATACCTGCCGAAGGATAAAGTGGTTGTTATCTCGCAGCATGTTCAAAATATTGAGACACTGAACAAGACCCAGAACAAGCAAGTTCAAGAATTGTATCTGCAGAATCCTACTAGTCTGGAAGATAATGACTCCGCGCGAGATCAAGTTCAGGAGGAGGGAGGTAATACCAGATATCAAGATCTGGAGGAGGCGACGAGTCGTAAGGACCAGACACAGAATATGGAGAAAAGGACTCCGTGGACAAGAAAGAAGAAGGTTGTGACAAGATCGGCGAGCAAGAATAAACGCTCAAGCCAGGGACAAAGAACTGAGAGTTCAGCCATGGATACTGACGTTGTCAATGTTGTCACAACATCTGACCCGAGAAACTTTGGTGAAGCTATGCGTAGCAGTCACAAGGAAGGATGGATGAAGGCAATTTCTGAAGAATTGCAAGCCTTGGAAAACAATGGAGTTTGGAGTATTGTGAAGGCTCCAAAAGATATTCGAGCACTTCACTCGAAGTGGGTTTTTAAGACGAAGCGTGACGCAGAAGGTGGCATCGAGAGATTGAAGGCGAGATTGGTCGCGTGTGGAAATGAACAAGTCTTTGGAGTGAACTATGGAGTTACGTTTGCTGCTGTGATTGATATGTCCAGCGTGAAGATGATTTCGCACTGGCAAGAAAGTGGAAGGTGCCTGCGAAGCATGGAGATGTTCCAAATGCTTACGTTAAAGCAGACAAGGAAGATAATCTCGATTTCTACATCCACGTACCACAGGGCATGCAGATTGCAGAGGACTTAAAGAAGAAGATCGGTGTTTCACAGAACAACGAGATTGTTTTGGAGCTGAAGAAGGCACTATATGGATTAAAACAAGCAGGAAGACTATGGAGTAAATTGCTACACCAGAAATTGGTTGATATTGGTTTTAAACAAAGTCTCACGGACATGTGTGTCTACTTTAATTAGAAACATGGTCATCTATTGATTGTTGGAGTTTACGTGGATGACCTTCTGGTAACAGGAAGTGATCAGGGTTCTGTGAATTCTTTTTTTGATGAGCTCAATTCACTATCGGTCAAGGATCTTGGATGTGCTCGCAAGTTTTTGGGTATGCGTATTCAATACAATGACGAAAATGGGTACACTTTTGATCAAGAAGTTGGAATTATGGACATGCTGAAGGAGCATGGTCTCGAAATGGGACATAGCGTGCGTGTTCCAATTACTCAAGACTGGAACGATAATGAAGAATCGGTAGCTGTGCCGTTACCGGTATTTGGAGGAGATGGTGAGGTTACGGTGAAAGTTTTCCAGTCACTTGTGGGAAGTTTACTATGGATTTCGCGTTGCACCAGACCAGATATCGCTTTCGCGGTGCATAAAGCGTCAAGAAGGACTCATAAGCCCACGATGGGAGATTATAAGTTGGCCAAGAAAATTGCAAGGTACCTATCTGGCACGAAGACATTGCGACTTTCTATGATTGGAAGAGAAGATGAACCAAAGCTGTTACAAGTGGTTGGGTACAGTGATGCGGATTTCGCTGCCGACAAAGGTGACAGAAAATCTGTCACGGGTGGTTTAATTACGATTGATGGCATGCCAGTGAGCTGGATGTGCAAGAAGCAAGGCGGTGTATCACTTTCGACCATGGAGGCTGAGTTTACAGCTGCATCCATTATGGCTCGAGAACTTTTGGGCATTCGCGAACTGTTGCAAGAGTTAGATTTGAGATTTGAAGAGCCTATACCACTGCGAGTGGATAACCAAGCGGCTTTGAAACAACTTGACGGTGAGAGAGCTTCGGCTAAGGCCAAACACATTGATGTGCACATCAAGAATGTCGGTGATTTTACGATGCGTGGAATTATAAAGCCCGAATATTGAGAGACTATGAATATGCTTGCGGACATACTAACAAAGGCATTGGCGCACCAAGATTGGTCGAGATGCGTCAAGTGATCGGTTTAAAATAATCGATCGGAGTCGACGATGACAGAGCAAGAATCAAGTGTTTTGTCAAGGACAGTGTCGACGAGGAGGAGTGTTGAAAGGCAAGCTTCAAGTTGATGTACCAAGAAAGTGGTACCAGTATCACTTTTGATATCATCTTTGCGCCGAGCAATTGTGGGAGTTTCATTTTATGATTTCTTCTGCAGAAAGGATTTGATAGCTAGCCAGGAGATAACGAAACTAATAACACTCTCTCTTTTGCATTTAATTGTGTGTCCTCTGTCTCTACCTTTGTGTATTGACTTCTAACAGATAGACTACATCAAGAGACGAGCAGACGTCCAAAGGGTGGCTGCCCTATCGATCCGCGGCTCAATCTGTGCGTTGGGTGAATGGGCTAGACCTCCTTCTAGCCGAAAATCGCCACAGTGTGATAAGGGGTGGAGGCCGACGCAGTCTATTGAGAAAGGAGCTTGCGAAGGTGTTACGTAAACTGAATTTTTACTTCCCCTTGCATAATGTCAGGCTCAGTTTTGCGCCTTGCCATTTGTCGATGTTCTATCAAAGTCAGCAAGTTCCGCAGCCCCAACAGTGCATCTACCATTAGAGTTGGAGCTTGAAAAAGCAGCCTTTTCAACGACAGGTGCTCGTGAATGAGGACGCAATCTTATGTTGTCACGGTACGTACACTATCACAGACAATAGTATTGAAGGTGCATCAAGGAGCATCCAATCACATGTGCATTTCAAATTAAACGGGTAACAGTTAAAATGAGAGGATACTGTACTATGTGACTGTGTGTGCCAGGTGAAAGGGGTTTCATATCCGGGATGTACGTAGACCCCCTCCCTTATTTCTCAAATGTACAGCAAAACTGATGGTCACCATCTCCAAAAAAACAAAAGAATATCGGCAAGTTGCTCGTCGCACCGGTGTTAGTAGAACCCGCTACCGCAAGACAACGGCACGAACCAAAAGATATTGTTTATGAGACGTTTCTTTTCTTTGCGACAAATGATTGAGGTGTGAGCGGTCTCTCTCTCATCGGTTGCTCAGACAGAAGGAATTTTATCGAGCCAAGTTTTTGATGATACTTTTTATTTTATTGGCATGCAACTAGATATAGCGGCTGCTACCAAGAGCTTCACGTTGTTACGTATCCAGACCCGTGCTCATGTGCGACGCCAACTATTTGTCATAAGACTACACCTATCGGCATACGGAGTAGATGCTAAAATTCTTTAGAATTACACTTTTTCACTCCTACCACAGGTTTGTCGTTGTTTCAATCCTCAAAACCTGGGCCACGTCTAGGAAGCTGGAACGAGGTGGTAGCGCATCGTCAGAACGTAAAGACCAGCAAAATTGCACTGAGGCAACAGAGCTTTTAGTCCGGGCACAAGAGCCTGCACCGCATCGACACTAAACCATTACGTTTAAAAGCTACCACCTTTTACAGTTGTTATCAGCGTGTCGAGATAGGATGGTAGGGTTTTGATCGCATATGGAACTCTTACGCTCCTTGCACACTCGATGGTGCTTTTCGCGGCAATTGTTCAGTCAAGTGTCAGTCGTGGACGAGCTTGACGAGTACTGAGCCTCAGGAACTACCACCAGGCAATCGTCGAATCCACAATTGCGCTCAACGACTCGGTATACCCAAGTACCATCGTCACAGATCTTGATGTCCCACGCGCATGCCTGCAGGTATGGATGAGCCCAACGATCCAACAGTTCTTTTCCATTCGATTTGCGTACCTGCGGGTTGTCGTCTGGCAGTGCAACGGAGTGTCTGGCTGAAGCGTTACAGTAGGAAATAGTCATTACTCCGGATACGATCAGCCGCACACCGACATGAGCCGATAACATACTTCAATGCCACTTCCTGTACTTGTCGATAATAGAAAAGACGACAGCAAAATAAGACTTGAACATCGAAGTAAACATCGAGTCGCATGACATTCATTGATACCATATATTCTGATGTCGTCTACGTGGAACAGCTGTCTACCAACTGACCAACTGACAGCAGCTCAAAGTCTCCACGCAGTTGCCGCACAAGCGGCGAAATATCACGTTCATCAGCGCATTGCTGCTCCACCACTTGCAGCAGCTGCTCCACGCGATCTTGGTGACGCCTGAATGCGCCTGACAGGTTTGGACTCCGCACAAGCGCTTGTAGCACACGCAGATGACAAGTCAAAACAAGGCGGGACTGTTCCACCACCAGCAACTCATCTAAAAATCTCGCAAAAATGGTAATCTCTCCAAGAGCCAGAGTCGATATGCACGTTAACACAAGTAACCGCTCTTGTCGTCGAGAATCATTTTCGTCCGACACTGTCGACTGCTCGGTTGTCAACGACGCATAGTACTTTTCCAAAACTTTGACACTCAAGCTTACCAGCTCTCGCTCCATCTCCGCGGGAATCTCAGTGCGCCGCTGAAGAGACTCGGCACCATGTGTGGTAGCAGAGGATAAGCACGCGCGATATAGCAATACCGATGTGTGCAGTTCTATCGAGGTCATTCCCTCGCGACTTTGAGCTTTCGCCAACGTTGGCGCCAAAATTTTCGGCAGTGAATTCCCCAAATTCATCGCAACAAACGCGCGACACACATGATCAACAAGCTGTAGTTGCTGTTGCTGAATTTGAGGACTTGCCTCAACCGGCGCAAGCGCTGTGCTGACGAAAAAGCTCACAATGTGGGCAAGATCCACAGATTCGCGCCGCTGGAACAATATGTCTACAAGAAAGCTTTTCGCCTCATTGTAGATACGTGGACTCTTGCAAGAGCTTGCAAGCGCGCGCAGTAGATGCACAGGATACCGAGGTAAGTGATAAAGAATGGCCGCGAAAGCTAGCTGGTCTGCCGCACCCAAAGCGTCGAAGCGCGTCCTAGCTAGCATCCTTTGATGCCCGTCTTCCGGCATTGACGAAGAAGGCACTGCTGCCAAGTTGAAAAAATTTGAGAGGTTCGTTAACACGCCGTCCATCTGATCACCGCTCGCGAAATTAGCAGGGAGCTGCTTAAGAACAGAAATTAACGCACGCAAACTGCGTCTGCCAAGTTCCATGTGCTGCAAATCAAGTTGACTTAGAAGCTCGGCAAGGCAGACCACCCACTGCATTACCATAGGCCACTCTAGTTTTTGTCTCCGTCGCTGTTGACCACGCAGCGCAATATCCAGCTGCTTTATAACAAATGCCGTGCAGGTGCGAAAACTCACCGACGTTGGCGTGCAAAGCACATAGAACTGAGTCACCGCATCCAGTATGCGAGTCTGCTCGCCATCCGTCGTCATTTCAACGTCCAAAGGATCTTCAAGCTGTGAAAATGAGAGCAAAACAAGCTCAACGACTTCCAAAAGAGGCCGGAGTACATTCTGCATACTGGCGACAGCGCGAAGTTCGGCCGTCTCCTTGTACTTGACTAAAGTTGTGGTCACGTACGTGCATACACGATGCTTTAATGTCTCCCCCGGTGGTGCACTCCTGTCAGAACCACGCATCAAGGTGGGAAGACGAAGAAACTCACACGCTAACTTCGCAAGCGAGACGTTCAAACCGTGCCATCGCGAAAGTGCTCCTGAGCCGTCTGAAGTGACAGAAAGGGCTGCACTCGCACTCGGTAGCATCGGAAAGCTCTCCGGTGCGAGAAGTTGCTCGCGCAGCTTCAACGTTATTTGGAAAAACTCGGCGTTTTCTGATACATCCGCATCCACATTTAGCAAGCTCGTATTAGCGCTAACCACAGCCGTCGTGCACTCCACGATATACGTCATGTGCTCCACGTGCACGTCCGACAGCGCGTCGCTACTCTCATCGACACACTCAAGCCACAACTCCAACAGAGCCGGTAGCAAAGTGCGCGCCTTCTCTTGCCACGACGCACAACCTGTCTTCCCGGCAGCGTTTGTCATCAATGACGCAGCAGTAGCAGCGGCAAGCATGCCTGGCGCAACTAGTTGCGGGGTCGGGTACAACAACAGCGTCTTGGTCATTGGCACCTCCGCAGTCGACTGTGCGGTCTGTGTTGTCTTCTTCATCCTGTTGCTTCTCTGTTCTGCGCCAACCGCCAGTAGCACTTTATGCAGTACCTTGAGCGCCACAAAGCGCAGCGCCAATGCACCGGACGGTCCATCAGCTTTCTTGCAACTCTTCACTTTCTGACGTCCGTCCGCTCGCTTTTTGTTACCACGACTACCACTTGGCTCTGAGGCCACGACCAACACGTCGTAAGTATTTTTCATCCGAATCCCTTGTGTCTGCGCAGCGCCAATCAAGTCTCGAAAGTTGTCCAGCAGTCTACTTCGAGCTTCTCGTCCAGCATCTAGTTGCAGCAGCTCAGGCGCAATAGTCACGAGCTCGTTAATGGCTTTCAGTGCATCTTGCCGCACCCCGACCTGCAAATGCGTCAGGCCACTGCAAAAGTACGTGACCACGAGCGTCGCGAACGGTTTCAAGGCACTGGAAAGCACCGGCAGCATCGCCTTCCACACCTGCACTGCCGCGTCCCGCACGACGCCTTCTTCGTCCAAGAGCGCAGGCAAAAAGCGCTCTAGCAGCACCGACGCATTGGCCCGAAGGTTCCTGGCCGTATCTTGGGTCGCCAGTTCCTTCAGTCCCTGCAACGCACGCTGGCGCATGTGCGCATTGTAATGTCCAATCTGTTGCAGCAGCTCCGGCAGAGCCTGGCGTCGGTGCGTCAACTGGGCGGCATTCGTCTTGTCTTGTAGCAGCGACTGCTCGAGCAAATTGATGCGACGCGAGGTGATGCCGACGGACGTGACGTTGGCTGCGGGGGCGGCGCGTCGACCGACTTTACGCTTGGGCCGCTTGAAGTCCGCGGGCTTTTTCTTGGGCTTCGAGGTGGTCGCCGCACGAACCATTTGTGAGACGTGACGGTCAAGTGACGGATGGTGGGAAGG